GGAGAGAGACACGGCGAGACACGGGGAGAGAGAGACACGGGGAGAGAGAGACACGGGGAGAAAGATACACGGGGAGAGACACGGGGAGAGAGAGACGGGGGGGATACACGGGGAGAGACACGGGGAGAAAGACACGGGGAGAGAGAGACACGGGGAGAGAAACACGGGGAGAGAGAGACACGGGAGAGAGACACGGGGAGAGAGAGACACGGGGAGAGAGACACGGGGAGAGAAACACGGGGGAGAGACACGGGGAGAGACACGGGGAGAGAGAGACACGGGGAGAGAGAGACACGGGGAGAGAGACACGGGGAGAGAGAGACACGGGGAGAGAGACACGGGGAGAGAGAGACACGCTGAGAGAGAGAGACCCGGAGAGAGACGCGGGGAGAGAGACACGGGGAGAGAGACACGGGGGGGAGACACGGGGAGAGAGAGAGACACGGGGAGAGAGACACGGGGAGAGAGACACGGGGAGAGAGACACACTGAGAGAGACACGGGGAGAGAGAGACACGGGGGGGAGACACGGGGGGGGGGGAGAGACACGGGGAGAGAGAGAGAGACACGGGAGAGAGAGAGAGAGAGACACGGGGAGAGAGAGACACGGGAGAGAGAGAGACACGGGGAGAGAGAGACACAGGGAGAGAGAGAGACACGGGGAGAGACACGGGGAGAGAGACACGGGGAGAGAGACACGGAGAGAGACACGGGGAGAGAGACACGGAGAGAGAGACGGGGAGAGAGAGACGGGGAGAGAGACACAGGGAGAGAGAGACACGGAGAGAGAGACACGGGGGGGGGAGAGACACGGGGAGAGAGAGACACGTGGAGAGAGAGACACGGGGAGAGAGAGACACGGGGAGAGAGAGACACGGAGAGAGAGAGACACGGGGAGAGAGAGACACAGGGAGAGAGAGACACGGAGAGAGAGAGACACAGGGAGAGAGAGACACGGGGTGGGGGGAGCGACACGGGGAGAGAGAGACACGGGGAGAGAAACGCGGGGAGAGAGAGAGACACGGGGAGAGAGACACGGGGAGAGAGACACAGGGAGAGAGACACGGGAGAGAGAGAGACACGGGGAGAGAGAGACACGGGGAGAGAGAGACACGGAGAGAGAGAGACACGGGGAGAGAGAGACACAGGGAGAGAGAGACACAGGGAGAGAGAGACACGGGGAGAGAGACACGGGGAGAGAGACGGGGAGAGAGAGACACGGGGGGAGAGAGAGACACGGGGATAGAGACACGGGGAGAGAGACACGGAGAGAGAGACACGGGGAGAGAGACACGGGGAGAGAGACACGGAGAGAGAGACACGGGAGAGAGACACGGGGAGAGAGACACAGGGAGAGAGAGACACAGGGAGAGAGAGACACGGGGAGAGAGACACGGAGAGAGAGACACGGGGAGAGAGACACGGGGAGAGAGACACGGAGAGAGAGACACGGGGAGAGAGACACGGGGAGAGAGACACGGGGAGAGAGACACAGGGAGAGAGAGACACAGGGAGAGAGAGACACGGGGAGAGAGACACGGGGAGAGAGAGACACGGGGAGAGAGAGACACGGGGAGAGAGACACGGGGGGGAGACACGGGGAGAGAGAGAGACACGGGGAGAGAGAGACATGGGGAGAGACACGGGGAGAGAGAGAGAGACACGGGGAGAGAGACACGGGGAGAGAGAGACACGGGGAGAGAGAGAGACACGGGGAGAGAGACACGGGGAGAGAGACACGGGGGGAGACACGGGGAGAGAGAGAGACACGGGGAGAGAGACACGGGGAGAGAGACACAGAGAGAGAGACACAGAGAGAGAGAGACACGCGGGGGAGAGACACGGGGAGAGAGAGACACGGGGAGAGAGAGACACGGGAAGAGACACGGGGAGAGGCGGACACGGGGAGAGGGGGACACGGGGAGCGAGAGACACGGGGGGGAGACACGGGGAGAGAGAGAGACACGGGGAGAGAGAGACACGGGGAGAGAGAGACCTGGGGGGGAGACACGGGGAGAGAGAGAGACACGGGGAGAGACACGGGGAGATAGACACGGGGGGGGGGGGGGGGAGCGACACGGGAGAGAGAGAGACACGGGGAGAGAGACACGGGAGAGAGAGAGAGACACGGGAGAGAGAGACACGGGAGAGAGAGAGACACGGGGAGAGAGACACGGGGAGAGAGACACGGGGGGGAGAGAGACACGGGGAGAGAGACACGGGGAGAGAGACACGGGGAGAGAGAGACACGGGAAGAGAGACACGGGGAGAGAGACGGGGAGAGAGAGACACGGGGAGAGAGACACGGGGAGAGAGACACGGAGAGAGAGACACGGGGAGAGAGACACGGGGAGAGAGACACGGAGAGAGAGACATGGGGGGGAGAGAGACACGGGGGGGAGAGACAGGGAGAGAGAGACACGGGGAGAGAGACACGGGGAGAGAGAGAGACACGGGGGGAGAGAGACACGGGGAGAGAGACACGGGGAGAGAGAGACACGGAGAGAGAGAGACACGGGGAGAGAGACACGGGGAGAGAGACACGGGGAGAGAGAGACACGGGGAGAGAGAGACACGGGAAGAGAGACACGGGGAGAGAGACGGGGAGAGAGAGACACGGGGGGGAGAGAGAGACACGGGGAGAGACACGGGGAGAGAGACACGGAGAGAGAGACACGGGGAGAGAGACACGGGGAGAGAGACACGGGGAGAGAGACACGGGGAGAGAGACACGGAGAGAGAGACACGGGGAGAGAGACACGGGGGGGAGAGAGACACGGGGGGGAGAGACAGGGAGAGAGAGACACGGGGAGAGAGACACGGGGAGAGAGACGGGGAGAGAGAGAGACACGGGGAGAGAGACGGGGAGAGAGATACACGGGGAGAGAGAGAGACACGCGGGGGAGACACGGGGGGGGAGAGAGACACGGAGAGGGACACGGGGAGAGAGACACGGGGGGAGAGACACGGGGAGGAGAGACACGGGGAGGAGAGACACGGGGAGAGAGACACGGGGAGAGAGACACGGGGAGAGAGACACGGGGAGAGAGACACGGGGAGAGAGACACGGGGAGGAGAGACACGGGGAGAGAGACACGGGGAGAGAGACACGCGGAGAGAGACACGGCCACCGTGAACACAGAGACACGGCCACCATGTACACAGAGACACGGCCACCGTGTACACAGAGACACGGTAACAGCGTGTACACAGAGACACGGCCACCGTGTACACAGAGACACGGCCACCGTGTACACAGAGACACGTTAACATCGTGTACACAGAGACACGGTAACAGCGTGTACACAGAGACACGTTAACAACTTGTACACACAGAGACACGGTAACAGCGTGTACACAGAGACACGGTAACAGCATGTACACACAGAGACACGGTAACAGCGTGTACACAGAGACACGGTAACAGCGTGTACACAGAGACACGGTAACAGCGTGTACACAGAGACACGGTAACAGCGTGTACACAGAGACACGGCCACCGTGTACACAGAGACACGGCCACCGTGTACACAGAGACACGGCCACCGTGTACACACAGAGACACGGCCACCGTGTACACAGAGACACGGTAACAGCGTGTACACAGAGACACAGCCACCGTGTATACACAGAGACACGGCCACCGTGTACACAGAGACACGGCCACCGTGTACACAGAGACACGGTAACAGCGTGTACACAGAGACACAGCAAGCGTGTACACACAGAGACACGGTAACAGCTTGTACACAGAGACACGGTAACACCGTGTACACACAGAGACACGGCCACCGTGTACACACAGAGACACGGCCACCGTGTACACACAGAGACACACGTGTACACACAGAGACACACGTGTACACACAGAGACACGGCCACCGTGTACACAGAGACATGGCCACCGTGTACACACAGAGACACGGTAACAGCGTGTACACAGAGACACGGCCAGCGTGTACACAGAGACACGGCCACCGTGTACACAGAGACACGGTAACAGCGTGTACACACAGAGACACGGCCACCGTGTACACACAGAGACACGGCCACCGTGTACACACAGAGACACGGTAACAGCGTGTACACACAGAGACACGGTAACAGCGTGTACTCACAGAGACACGGCCACCGTGTATACACAGAGACACGGCCACCGTGTACACAGAGACACGGTAACAGCGTGTACACAGAGACACGGTAACAGCGTGTACACAGAGACACGGCCACCGTGTACACAGAGACACGGTAACAGCGTGTACACAGAGACACGGCCACCGTGTACACAGAGACACGGCCACCGTGTACACAGAGACACGGCCACCGTGTACACAGAGACACGGCCACCGTGTACACAGAGACACGGCCACCGTGTACACAGAGACACGGTAACAGCGTGTACACACAGAGACACGGTAACAGCGTGTACTCACAGAGACACGGCCACCGTGTACACACAGAGACACGGCCACCGTGTACACAGAGACACGGCCACCGTGTACACAGAGACACGGTAACAGCGTGTACACACAGAGACACGGCCACCGTGTACACACAGAGACACGGTAACAACTTGTACACACAGAGACACGGTAACAGCGTGTACACACAGAGACACGGCCACCGTGTACACACAGAGACACGGCCACCGTGTACACACAGAGACACGGCCACTGTGTACACAGAGACACGGCCACCGTGTACACAGAGACACGGCCACCGTGTACACAGAGACACCGTAACAGCGTGTACACAGAGACACGGTAACAGCGTGTACACAGAGACACGGCCACCGTGTACACACAGAGACACGGTAACAACTTGTACACACAGAGACACGGTAACAGCGTGTACACAGAGACACGGTAACAGCGTGTACACACAGAGACACGGCCACCGTGTACACACAGAGAGACACGGCCACCGTGAACCCCGCTGACACTTGCCCCTGCAGCCTGTCCAGAGGCTACCTGGGGGAACTTTTGCCTGTACCTTTTGCAGGTCATCCTGAGAGAGAGGGAGGAGAGGTCCCGGAGGCACTTTGAGTCTTCGGCTGTCCCCTCGGGCCCTGCGGCTGTCCCCACGGGCTCTGTCTCCAGTACGGCTGTCTCCTCCCTGTCTCCCGCACAGGACAGCGGACAGCTGGGGCTGTCTCCAGAAGGTGGGTGGGTGGGTGGGGTTCACGGTGGGTGGGTGGGTGGGGTTCACGGTGGGTGGGTGGGTGGGGTTCACGGTGGGTGGGTGGGTGGGGTTCACGGTGGGTGGGTGGGTGGGTGGGGTTCACGGTGGGTGGGTGGGTGGGTGGGGTTCACGGTGGGTGGGGTTCACGGTGGGCGGGGTAATAACTCCCCGTGTTTCCCCCGTGCTTCCCCGTGTCTCCCCGTGTCTCCCCGCGTCTCCCCCGTGTCTCTCCGCGTCTCCCCGTGTCTCCCCCCGTGTCTCTCCCCGTGTCTCCCCGCGTCTCCCCCGTGTCTCACCGTGCTTCCCCGTGTCTCCCCGTGTCTCCCCCACGTCTCCCCGTGTCTACCCGTTTCTCCCCCGTGTCTCCCCGTGTCTCCCCGTGTCTCCCCCTGTCTCCCCCGTGCCTCCCCGTGTCTCCCCCGTGTCTCCCCCGTGTCTCCCCGTGTCTACCCGTTTCTCCCCCGTGTCTCCCCGTGTCTCCCCGTGTCTCCCCGCGTCTCCCCGCGTCTCACCGTGTCTCCCCGTGTCTCCCGCGTGTCTCCCAGATGGCTGCTCAATGTCCCCGGCTTCCCAGGAGTCTCCCCTGAGTCTGACCCCAGTGAGCCAGACTCCACCGCTGAGCCAGGGAGACTCGCCACACCTCACCGGGAACACTCACCACTCGCCGCTCACCATCCACAGCCAACGGTTCCGAGAGTAAGTCGCTCACCTGCTTACCCGCTCACTCACCCAGTCACCCACTCACTCACTCACTCACCACTCACCCACTCACTCACTCACCTACTCACCCACCCACTCACTCACTCACTCACCCACTCACCCACCCGCTCGCTCACTCACCCACTCACCCACTCACCCACTCACTCACCCACTCACTCACTCACCCACCCACTCACTCATTCACTCACTCACCCACTCACTCACTCACCCACCCACTCACTCAACCACCCACTCACTCACTCACTCGCTCACTCACTCACCCGCTCACTCACTCACCCACTCGCTCACCCACTCACCCACTCACTCACCCACTCACTCACTCACCCACCCACTCAGTCACCCACCCACTCACTCACTCACCCACTCACTCACTCACCCATCCACTCACTCACTCACTCACCCACTCACCCACTCACTCACTCGCTCACTCACCCACTCACCCGCTCACTCACTCACCCACTCACTCACCCACTCACCCACCCACTCACTCGCCCACTCACCCGCTCACTCACTCACTCACTCACCCACTCACCCACCCACCCACTCACTCATCCACCCACCTACCCACTCATCCACCCACCTACCCACTCACTCTCTCACCCACTCACTCACCCACCCACCCACTCACTCATCCACCCACCTACCCACTCACTGACCCACTCACCCATTCACCCACTCACTCACCCACTCACCCACTCACTCACCCACTCACCCACTCACTCACTCACCCACTCACTCACCCACCCACCCACTCACCCACCCACTCACCCACTCACCCACCCACTCACCCACCCACTCACTCACCCACCCACCCACTCACTCACCCACCCACCCACTCACTCATCCACCCACCTACCCACTCATTCACCCACCTACCCACTCACTCTCTCACCCACTCACTCACTCACTCACCCACGCACTCATCCACCCACCTACCCACTCACTGACCCACTCACCCACTCACCCACTCACTCACCCACTCACCCACTCACTCACCCACTCACCCACTCACTCACTCACCCACTCACCCACTCACTCACCCACCCACCCACTCACCCACCCACTCACCCACTCACCCACCCACTCACCCACCTACTCACTCACCCACCCACCCACTCACTCACCCACTCACTCACCCACCCACTCACTCACCCACTCACTCACTCACCCACTCACTCACCCACCCACTCACTCACCCACTCACCCACCCACTCACCCACCCACCCACCCACCCACTAACCCACCCACTCACCCACCCACCAACCCGCCCGCCCACCAGATACTGCCAGCAGGTGCTCAGCCCAGAGATTGATGCCTGCTCTACGCAGCTGCTCCAGGCCCTCGTGCGTGCCCAGGAGCGTCACTACCAGCACCAGGGCCCCCCGGTCCCCCCAGGCGGCCGGTCGCGTGCCAGGAGCGGTGCACCTCCTCGCCGGCTGGTGATGGGGCTGCGGGAGGTGACCAAGCACCTCAAGCTGGGCCGGGTTTCTCTGGTCATCATCTCGCCCAACTGCGAGAAGATACAGGCCAAGGGTGAGTGGGGGGGGGGTGGTGGGTGGGGTGGGGGGGGTGGGTGGGTGGTGGGGGGGGAGGGGGGTCAGGGTTATGTCCGGTTCAGTCGGTCGGTCGCTGACTCATTCATTCACTCATTCACTCACTCACTCATTCATTCACTCATTCACTCACTCATGCACTCACTCATGCACTCACTCACTCATTCACTCATTCACTCACCCACTCACCCACTCACTCATGCACTCACTCACTCATTCACTCATTCACTCACCCACTCACTCACCCACTCACTCATTCACTCACTCACTCACCCACTCACTCACTCATTCACTCACTCATTCACTCATTCATTCACTCACTCACCCACTCACTCATGCACTCACTCACCCACTCACTCATTCACTCACTCACCCACTCACTCATTCACTCATTCACTCACTCACTCATGCACTCATTCACTCACCCACCCACACACTCACACTCATTCACTCACCCACCCACTCACTCACCCACCCACTCACTCACCCACACACTCACCCACTCACTCACCCACTCACTCACCCACTCACTCACCCACTCACTCATTCACTCACTCACCCACTCACTCATTCACTCACTCATTCACTCACTCACCCACTCACTCATTCACTCACCCACTCACTCACCCACTCACTCACCCACTCACTCACCTGCTCACTCATTCACTCACTCACCCACCCACTCACTCATCCACTCACTCACCCACTCACTCACTCACCCACTCACTCACTCATCCACTCACTCACCCACTCACTCACTCACTCACCCACTCACTCACTCATGCACTCACTCACCCACTCACTCACTCATTCACTCACTCACTCACTCATTCATTCACTCACTCACTCACTCACCCACTCACTCATGCACTCACTCACTCATTCACTCATTCACTCACCCACTCACCCACTCACTCATGCACTCACTCACTCATTCACTCATTCACTCACCCACTCACTCACCCACTCACTCACCCACTCACTCACCCACTCACTCATTCACTCACTCACTCACCCACTCACTCACTCATTCACTCACTCATTCACTCATTCATTCACTCACTCACCCACTCACTCATGCACTCACCCACTCACTCATTCACTCACTCACCCACTCACTCATTCACTCATTCACTCACTCACTCATGCACTCATTCACTCACCCACCCACACACTCACACTCATTCACTCACCCACCCACTCACTCACCCACCCACTCACTCACCCACACACTCACCCACTCACTCACCCACTCACTCACCCACTCACTCACCCACTCACTCATTCACTCACTCACCCACTCACTCATTCACTCACTCATTCACTCACTCACCCACTCACTCATTCACTCACCCACTCACTCACCCACTCACTCACCCACTCACTCACCTGCTCACTCATTCACTCACTCACCCACCCACTCACTCATCCACTCACTCACCCACTCACTCACCCACTCACTCACTCATCCACTCACTCACCCACTCACTCACTCACTCACCCACTCACTCACTCATGCACTCACTCACCCACTCACTCACCCACTCACTCACCCACTCACTCACTCACTCACCCACTCACTCACCCACTCACTCATTCACTCACTCACCCACTCACTCATTCACTCATTCACTCACTCACTCATGCACTCATTCACTCACCCACTGACACAATCACTCACCCACTGACACACTCACACTCACTCACTCACCCACACACTCACACACTCACTCACCCACTCACTCACCCACCCACTCACTCACCCACACACACACTCACTCACCCACACACACACTCACTCACCCACTGACACACTCACACTCATTCACTCACCCACCCACCCACTCACACACTCACTCACCCACTCATCCACCCACCCACTCACCCACTCATTCACTCACCCACCCACTCACACACTCACTCATTCACTCACCCACCCACTCACACACTCACCCACTCATTCACTCACCCACCCACTCACACACTCACCCACTCACTCACTCACCCACCCACTCACCCACTCATTCACTCACCCACCCACCCACTCACTCACTCACCCACTCATCCTCCCACCCACTCACTCACCCACACACTCACCCACTCATTCACTCACCCACCCACCCACTCACACACTCACTCACCCACTCATCCACCCACCCACTCACTCACCCACTCATTCACTCACCCACCCACTCACTCACCCACTCATTCACTCACCCACCCACTCACCCACTCACCCACTCATTCACCCACCCACTCACTCACCCACTCACCCACCCCCCCACCCACCCCCCCACCCACCCCCAGGAGGCCTAGACGACGCCCTACAGACGGTGATTGACTTGGCACGTGACCAGGATCTGCCCTTTGTGTTTGCGCTTGGGCGCAAGGCGCTGGGGCGCTGTGTCAACAAGCTGGTACCTGTCAGTGTCGTCGGAGTCTTCAGCTACGACGGAGCAGAGGTGGGTGGCTGGGTGGGGGGGTGGGTGGGTGGGTGGGTGGGTGGGGGGGTGAGTGGGTGGGTGGGTGGGTGGGGGGGTGAGTGGGTGGGTGGGTGAGTGAGTGGGTGAGTGGGTGGGTGAGTGAGTGGTTGGGTAAGTGGGTGGGTGAGTGGGTGGGTGAGTGGGTGGGTGGGTGAGTGGGTGGGTGAGTGGGTGGGTGAGTGGGTGGTGAGTGGGTGGTTGAGTTGGTGGGTGGGTGGGTGAGTGGGTGGGTGGGTGAGTGGGTGAACGGATGGGTGGGTGGGTGAGTGGGTGGGTGAGTGAGTGGGTGAGTGGGTGGGTGAGTGGGTGGGTGAGTGAGTGGATGAGTGGGTGAGTGGGCGGGTGAGTTGGTGGGTGAGTGAGTGGGTGGGTGAGTGGGTGGGCGAGTGAGTGGGTGGGCGAGTGAGTGCGTGGGCGAGTGAGTGAGCGAGTGAGTGGGTGGGCGAGTGAGTGGGTGAGGTGAGTGGATGGGTGAGTGGGTGGGTGGGTGGGTGAGCGGGTGGGTGAGTGGTCACCATAGGCCACCACACACACACCACTGCACACACCACCGCACACACCACCACACACCACACACACCACACACACACCACCACACACACCACTACACACACACCACTACACACACACCACCACACACACACCACTACACACACACCACCACACACACACCACCACACACCACAGACACACCACCACACACCACACACACACCACCACACACACACCACACACCACCTCCACACCACCACACACACCACACACACCACCACACACACACCACCACACACACACCACACACCACCTCCACACCACCACACACACACACCACTACACACACACCACCACACACCACCACACACACCACTACACACACACCACCACACACCACACCACTACACACACACCACCACACACACACCACTACACACACCACACACACCACCTACACACACCACCACACACACACACCACTACACATACCACACACACCACACACACACACACCACCACACACACCACCTACACACCACCTACACACACCACTACACATCACCACCGCACACACACACCACACACACCACCACACACACACACACCACACACACCACCACAGACCACTACACACACCACCACACACACCACACACACCACCACACACACACCACACACCACACACACCACCACACACACCACACACACCACACACACCACCACACACACACACCACCACAGACCACTACACACACCACCACACACACCACACACACCACCACACACACACCACACACACCACCACACACACCACACACACCACCACACACACACACCCCACACACACCACACACACACACACCACACACACACCACACACACCACACTACACACACCACACACATACACTACACACACCACACTACACACACCACACACACACCACACACCACACACACCACACTACACACACCACACACACACACCACCTACACACACCACCACACACCACCACACACACCACCTACACACACCACACACACACCACACCACACACACACACACCACTACACACACACCACACACACCACCTACACACACCAATACACATCACCACCGCACACACACACCACACACACCACACACACACCACCACACACACACACCACTACACACACCACACACACACACCACACACCACACACACCACACACACATCACACCACACACACACACCACCTACACACCACACACACACTATACACACACCACACACACCACACCACACACACACTACACACACACCACTACACACACACCACCACACCACACACATACACACCACACACACACACCACTACACACACCACACACACACCACCTACACACCACACACCACCACACACACACCACCCACACCACCACACACACAACACACACACACTACACACACACCACTACACACACCACACACACAGCACACTACACACACCACACACACCACACACACCACACACACCACACACACCACACACACCACACACTACACACACACCACTACACACACACACCACACTACACACACCACCACACACCACTACACACACCACACACACACCACACACACACCACACACCACTACACACACACCACACACACACCACACCACACACTACACACACACCACACACACACACACCACACACACACCACACACACCACACACACACACCACTACACACACCACACACACACCACCTACACACCACACACCACCACACACACACCACCCACACCACCACACACACAACACACACACACTACACACACACCACTACACACACCACACACACAGCACACTACACACACCACACACACCACACACACACCACACACACCACACACACCACACACTACACACACACCACTACACACACACACCACACTACACACACCACCACACACCACTACACACACCACACACACACCACACACCACTACACACACACCACACACACACCACACCACACACTACACACACACAGACACACAGACACACACAGACACACACACACCACACACACCACACCCACCCCACACACACCACACACACACCACACACACCACACACTACACACACCACACCACACACACCACTACACACACCACCACACACACACCACTACACACGCCACACACACACACACCACCACACACACCACACACCACCACACACACCACACACACCACACACACCACTACACACACCACCACACACACACACACCACACCACACACACACCACACCACACCACACACTACACACACACCACACACACTACACACACCACACACCACACACACACCACACACACACCACACCCACACACACACACCACACACACACCACTACACACACACACACCACTACACACACACCACACACACCACACACCACACACACACCACACACCACCACACACACCACACACACACCACACCACACACACCACACACGCACCACACACACACACCACACACACACACACCACTACACACCACACCACTACACACACACACCACCACACACACACCACACACACACCAAACACACACCACCACACAACCAACACCCACCAACACACACACACACACACACCACCACACACACTACACACACTACACACACACCACACCACACACACCACACCACACACACACCACTACACACACACCACACACACCACTACACACACACTACACACACTACACACACACCACACCACACACACACACCACTACACACACTACACACACACCACACCACACACACACACCACTACACACACACCACCACACACACACCACACACACACCACCACACACACACACCACACACCACACCACACACACACCACCTACACACACCACACACACCACACACACACCACACACACACCACCACACACACACACCACACACCACACCACACACACACCACCTACACACACCACACACACCACACACACACCACACCACTACACACACACCACACACACTACACACACCACACCACACACACACACACCCCACACACACACCACACACACCACACACACCACCACACACACCACACACACCACACACACCACCACACACACCACACACACACCACACACACTACACACACCACCACACTACACACCACACACACACACCAGCCTCTCTCACGTAGACTTAACCCCTCTCCTCCCGCCCCGCCAACCCCCTCCCATCCCCCGCTCCTCCGCCCCAGGCCCTGTTCACTCGGCTGGTGCAGCTGACGGAGTTGGCTCGGGCCTCCTACAGGCAGATGGTGCAGGCCCTGGATCAAGGCCATGCGGCCCTCCGCGGGCCCCTCGCGTGGAGCTGTGGCCCCCCACCCTTTCCGCCCCCACCCGCTCATCATCAGCAGCATCATCAGCAGCAGCAGCATCATCAGCAGCAGCAGCAGCATCAGCAGCAGCAGCAGCAGCGCCTGCCGTTCATGACACATTCTCGGAATGCATCAGCGGCCAGTGCTGTGTCCTTCTGCAGTGTAGTGTCCGAGCCGATATCTGAGCTGAACGAGCGTGAGCACGGTGGGCACACAGGGGGTTGTGGTTGTGGTTGTTGTTGTGGTTGTTGTTGTTGTGGTTGTTGTTGTGGTTGTTGTTGTGGTTGTTGTTGTGGTTGTTGTTGTTGTTGTTGGTTGGTGTTGTTGGTGTTGTGGTTGTTGTTGTGGTTGTTGTGGTTGTTGGTGTGGTTGTTGTTGTGGTTGGTGTTGTTGTTGTTGTGGTGGTTGTTGTTGTTGTGGTTGTTGTGGTGGTGGTGGTTGTTGGTGTTGTGGTTGTTGTGGTTGTTGTTGTTGTGGTTGTTGTTGTTGTGGTGGTTGTTGTGGTTGTTGTTGTTGTGGTTGTTGTGGTTGTTGTTGTGGTTGTTGTTGTTGTTGTGGTTGTGGTGGTTGTGGTGGTTGTGGTTGTTGTGGTGGTTGTGGTTGTTGTGGTTGTTGTGGTTGTTGTTGTTGTGGTTGTTGTTGTGGTTGTTGTGGTTGTTGTGGTGGTTGTTGTTGTTGTTGTGGTGGTTGTTATTGTGGTTGTTGTGGTTGTTGTTGTTGTGGTGGTTGTTGTTGTGGTGGTTGTTGTTGTGGTGGTTGTTGTGTTTGTTGTTGTGGTTGTTGTGGTTGTTGTTGTTGTGGTGGTTGTGGTTTAGTAATAGGTTTTTACCCGTTTAACTGGCACAAAAACTGACACCTTTATACAAGGCATCGTGTTTGCAATAACCACAACACAAGCAGTCAAAATGCAAACATAAGAGAGAGACAACTCTGATAATGATATTGGCACTGTCCTTGAATTTGATTGGTCCACACCAGAGACGGATTTTCTTAGAGCCCTTTAGTCTCTCCGCTGGTGTTGGACCAGAAGACGCCAAAAGGCGTACAACTCAAAAACAGCAGAGCACTATCAGAGTATTGAGGGCTCGGGGTGAGAATTTACATTATGAGACCTCCTTTGCCAGTAACAAGATATAGAAATAGCTTTTACCCTTTTAACTGGCACAAAAACTGACGCCTTTTTAACAATGATCCATGTTTACTGCATTAACCACGATACCTGCAGTCAAAACAAAAACACACACTATGATAATTGATGCACTGTCCTTGAAACTGATTGGCCCACGCCAAGGGACCGCTTTTGCCTGAGCCTCGACCCCAAATCGGTGCTCGACCAGATGATGACTCCCCAAAAGGACGTCGCCACAGCTCAAAGACAATGCCGCTGTCTGTCTAAGTAGCGAGGGCTCGGGGTGAGCGTCTTACACCATCGCCGCTAGAATGTCTGCACGGTGTACAGTCTGGAAAGTAGCCGCGTGGCAGGATGTCCAGTTTGTAGCGCGTCTGGAAGTACGGCAACGCACATAATCACAACTGTGCCCTTATATTTATTATTGTTGTTGTTGTTGTTCTTGCTGTTGTTGTTCTTGTTGTTGTTGTTGCTGTTGGAGATTCGCGTCTACGTTGTCACCGCCGGGAGGGCCTGGGTCTGGGGGCCCTCTGGCGAACAAATCGGCAACGTGCGAGGGGGCGGTGATGGGAGCATTGGACCCTCCACTCGGAGCAAGCGGCAACGATGGAGAGATGTGGGGGGGGGGGTAGATGGGGGGGTAGATGGGGGGGTAGATGGGGGGGTAGTGAGCAGGATGGTGTCACTGCATTGTCATCTGACCACCCTCACCATTCCACTAACTTTTCCACCCCCACCCCCTTCTTTGCTCGCCCACACGCTCACCCACACGCTCGCCCACACGCTCACACACACGCTCACCCACACACACACACGCTCGCCCACACGCTCACACACGTGCTCACCCACACGCTCACCCACACGCTCACCCACACACCCACACACACGCTCACCCACACACACACACGCTCACCCACACGCTCACCCACACGCTCACCCACACGCTCACCCACACACCCACACACCCACACACACGCTCACACACACGCTCGCCCACTCGCTCGCCCACTCGCTCACCCACGCAGAGATAAATTGGCGCAAGATCGTGGACTTTCCCGACCAGGAGCCAGCAACCGCCACCCCGGCAACCGTAACCCCGGCAACCGCAACCCCGGCAACCGCAACCCCGGCAACCGCCACCCCGGCGGCCGCGACCTCCAACCCTGCCCACCGACCGCCCACTCTGCACGCAACTCTCATCACGGCAGCCGGCGATGGTGGCGGTGATGGTGGTGGCGATGGTGATGATGGTGGTGGTGGTGATGGTGGTGGTGATGATGGCGGTGATGATGGCGGTGGTGGTGGTGGTGGCGATGGTGGCCGTGATGGTGGTGATGATGGTGGCGATGGTGGCGGTGATGGTGGCGGTGATGGCGGCGGTGGTGGCGGCGATGGTGGCGGCGATGGTGACGGCGGTGATGGCGGTGGCGGTGATGGCGGCTGCGGTGATGGCGGTCGCGGTGATGGCGGTGGCGGTGATGGTGGTGGCGGTGATGGCGGTGGCGGTGATGGCGGTGGCGGTGATGGCGATGGCGGTGATGGTGGTGGCGGTGATGGCGGTGGCGGTGATGGCGGTCGCGGTGATGGCGGTGGCGGTGATGGCGGTGGCGGTGATGGTGATGGCGGTGGCGGTGATGGCGGCTGCGGTGTGCGGTCGAACATGGAACCAGCTCAGAGCCGCGTTGCATCGTGGGTACAGGAAGTGACGCTATCCCTAGAGAGGGCGTCGCTCTGCCCAACGGTGATGGAGGAGGAGGGGGAGGAGGAGGAGGTGGAGGGGGAGGAAGAGGAGGTGGAGGGGGAGGAGGTGGAGGAGGTGGAGGAGGAGGTGGAGGAGGAGGAGGTGGAGTGAGTGTCGGTGTCCTACGGTTCTCCATACGCACAGAGAGACACGCAGATAGAAGACACTCTCACTCACTCACACACTTACACACACACACTTACACACTCACTCACTCACTTACACACACTCACTCACACACTTACACACACTCACACACTTACACACACACTCTCGCAGACACACACTCACACACACACTTACACACTCACTCACACACACTCACAGACACACACACTCACAGACACACACACAGATCTTCACAGACACACACACAGATCTTCACAGACAGATCTTCACAGACAGATCTTCACAGACACACACTCACAGACACTCACAGACACACACTCACACTCACAGACACACACACTCACAGACACACACACACTCACAGACACACACACAGACACACACTCACAGACCCACAGATCTTCACAGACACACACTCAGACACACACTCACAGACACACTCACAGACACACAGATCTTCACAGACACACTCAGACACACACTCACAGACACACACTCACAGACACACTCACAGACACACACTCACAGACACACACACACTCACACACTCACAGACACACAGACACACACTCACAGACACACACTCACAGACACACACTCACAGACACACACTCACAGACACACACTCACAGACACACACTCACAGATCTTCACAGACACACACTCACAGACACACACACTCACAGACACACACTCACAGACACACACTCACTCACAGACACACACACACACTCACAGACACACACACACACTCACAGACACACACTCACAGACACACACACTCACACAGACACACGATCTTCACACTCAGACACACATTCACAGACACACACTCACAGACACACACTCACAGACACACACTCACAGACACACACACACACTCACAGACACACACACACACTCACAGACACAGACACACACTCACAGACACACTCACAGACACACTCACAGACACACTCGCACACACAGATCTTCACACACAGACAAAGGTGAGGGTGGTGGTGAGGGTGGTGGTGGTGGTGATGGTGGTGGTGATGGTGGTGGTGGTGATGGTGGTGATGATGGTGGTGGTGGTGATGGTGGTGGTGGTGAGGGTGGTGGTGGTGAGGGTGGTGGTGGTGGTGGTGAGGGTGGTGGTGGTGAGCTGTAATGAGCCGTGGAGAGAACCGCTGATAACCAGTAACTCGTTTAATAGTAAACCAATTATGGTTTGCCAGTAATGGGATTTCCTGTAAAGTAATGGGTTTACCTATAACGCAATTGGATTACCTGTAAAGGAATGGGATTACCTGTAAAGGAATGGGATTACCTGTAAAGGAATGGGATTACCTGTAAAGGAATAGGATTACCTATAAAGCAATGGGATTACCTATAAAACAATGGGATTACCTCCTAAAATAATGGGATTACCTCCTAAAATAATGGGATTACCTGTAAAGGAATAGGATTACCTATAAAGCAATGGGATTACCTATAAAACAATGGGATTACCTCCTAAAATAATGGGATTACCTCCTAAAATAATGGGATTACCTCCTAAAATTATGGGATTACCTGTAAAGGAATGGGATTACCTGTAAAGGAATGGGATTACCTGTAAAGGAATGGGATTACCTGTAAAGGAATGGGATTACCTGTAAAGGAATGGGATTACCTATAAAGCAATGGGATTACCTATAAAACAATGGGATTACCTATAAAACAATGGGATTACCTCCTAAAATAATGGGATTACCTCCTAAAATAATGGGATTACCTGTAAAGGAATGGGATTACCTGTAAAGGAATGTGATTACCTGTAAAGGAATGGGATTACCTGTAAAGCAATGGGATTACCTGTAAAGCAATGGGATTACCTGTAAAGCAATGGGATTACCTGTAAAGGAATGGGATTACCCCCTAAAATAATGGGATTACCTCCTAAAATAATGGGATTCCCTGTAAAGGAATGGGATTACCTCCTAAAATAATGGGATTACCTATAAAGTAACGGTATCACCTTTGAAGTAATGACATTACCTATGAAGTAATTTGATTACTTGTAAAGTAATTGCCTTTAAAGTAGCGGGATTACTTATAAAGTAACGGGATTGGCTGTAAAGTAGCGTGATTGCCATTGAAGTAACGGGATTACTTCCCCGGCACATGTTTGCGTGTGTGGAGGAGGGGAGTGGTGGTGCAGCGGTTAGCACCACTGGGTCGCATCAAGAAGCAGAGGATCACGGGTTGGAGTGCCACTCAGCCACCATCAACACCATCATCATTCACCATCACTCACAATCAACATTCACCAACACCATCACCATCAACACCATCATCATTCACCATCAACACCATCATCACTCACCATCACCACCATCAACACCATCATCATTCACCATCAACACCAACCACCATCACTCACAATCATTCACCATCACCACCATCACCACCATCATCACTCACCATCAACACCATCACAATCAACATTCACCATTCACCATCAAACACCATTATACACCATCACTCACAATCAACATTCACCATCAACACCATCACTCACAATCATCATTCACCATCACTCACCATCAACACCGTCATCACCATCACCACTATCATCATTCACCATCACTCACCATCACCATTCACCATCAACCACCACAATACATCACCATCATTCACTCACAATCATCATTCACCATCAACACCATTACTCACCATCATCATTCACCATCAAACATTATTCACCATCACTCACCATCACCACCACAATACATCACCATCACACACCATCATTCACCATCAAACATCACTCACCATCAACACTATCACCACTACCATCAGTCACCATCACCACTTACCTACCGCCATCAACACCACCATCACTATGGCCACTATCACAACTATCCACACCACCACCATCAACACTAACATCGCCACCAAGCACCCCCACCATCATCACCACTAATGGCACTTGCCCCAACAGCCCCGTGTGGGCTACGTGGGGCACCTTTGCCTGTCCCTGTGTACCCTGTATATGTACCTGGAGACAGAGGCAGGTTGTGGATTTTAAGTTTGTCTGGGTTCTTAACGCAATCATCACAATCATAATCATCACCACAATCGTCACTATCACCACCATCACTACCATACCATCACAATCATGATCATCATCATCACCACTGTCTGTGTTCTGACCAAGTTGTATAAATAATAAAAGCTGATCTCCCCAGACTTGGTCAAGGCCTCTCACCTTTAATCTCTCAGCCTGTGTGTGTCAGTGTGTGTGTCTGTGTCAGTGTGTCTGTGTCAGTGTGTGTGTCCACTCAGCTCCACGTCCTCCTGTACCACATCACTCCATCTCTTCTCTAGCCCGTGCCTCCTGTACCACGTCACTCCATCTCTTCTCTAGCCCGTGCAGCGCCCGCTTAGCCCCCTCGATCCGGCCGAACAAAAGCTGTTTGGGCATGCGGTGGCTGGGCATGCGGGCTACATGACCCAGCCATCGCAGCCTTGCCCGCCGGAGGAGCTCACCGATGGGACCTTGCCCAGATCTTTAGAGGATTTGTGAGCTCCTCACACAATCCAGTCTGGTTAAACCCAGGATGGATCGTAGGCAGGCCAACCTAAATGTTTCTAACATTAGGGGGGTCCACGTTTCGCAAGCGTAGAGAAGGGAGGGAATGACTATGGCCGAGAAGACCTGAAGCTTAGTGTGGAGCGGCAGACCAGGTAGCTTCCACACAGCGTTACGCAACCGATGAAAAGATTGCCGCTCGACTGATTCGGAGTGAGACCTCTGCTGTTAAACTGGAGCCGGTCATAAGCACACTGCCCAGGTATGGGAAACTCTCCACTCTCTCCACAACTGCCCCATCACCGATCGGGAGTTGTGGGGGTGGAGTGTCCGATGGTACAAAATATCCAGGCAGGTGCTTAGTTTTGGTGGGGCTGATGGTAAGGCCCCATCTCTTAGTGGCACGCTCCAGTCTCAGCAGCAGGGTCTCCAACTCCTCCTCTGAATGAGCAGCTATTACCAAATCAACTGATACACAGGCACAGACACACACAGACAGACACACACGCAGACACACACGCACAGACACACACAGACAAAGAACCCCCATATAGCCTTAACAGACTGTAGGGGCAAGTGCTGTTAGCGAGCACCTATGAAGGCCGGAACGGTACACGAGGGGGTGGGTGGCCAGCACCACGCCCGACCGCCTTTGTCTCCCTAGTGGCAATGTTTACACACCGCACCAGGTACTCATTTGAGGCTGAGTCGACCTAGGGGAGGCCCGGGACCGGTTCAGATAATCGTCACCGGTGTTGGCCGTGAGCGGGAATCGAACCCGGGTCGCCAGGTTCATAGCGCAGCGTAGCGCTAACCACTACACTACCGCTCACACAAAGATAAAAGACACACAGACTGACACACACACACTGACACACAGACACACACACAGACTGACACAGACACACACACACACACTGACACAGACACACACACAGACACACTGACACATACACACACACACTGACATACACACATACACACACACACACTGACACACTGACACACACAGTCATACACACAGACACACACACAGTCACACACACACAGACACACACACACACAGACACACACACATAGACACACACACAGACACACACACACACAGACACACACACACACACACAGACACACACAGTCATACACACAGACACACACACAGTCACACACACACACACAGTCACACACACACAGTCACACACAGACACACACACACTGACACACAGACACACACTGACACAGACATCAGCAGGTTTTATTGCACGACGGTGGAAACGGAATCGCCGCTGCCCGTGGTGCCCGTGGTGGTGCCCGTGGTGGTGGTGGTGGTGCCCGCGGTGCCCGTGGTGGTGCCCGTGGTGGTGCCCGTGGTGGTGGTGGTGGTGCCCGTGGTGCTGCCCGTGGTGGTGCCCGTGGTGGTGCCCGTGGTGGTGGTGGTGGTGCCCGTGGTGCTGCCCGTGGTGGTGCCCGTGGTGGTGCCCGTGGTGGTGGTGGTGGTGCCCGTGGTGCTGCCCGTGGTGGTGCCCGTGGTGGTGCCCGTGGTGGTGGTGGTGGTGCCCGTGGTGCTGCCCGTGGTGGTGCCCGTGGTGGTGCCCGTGGTGGTGCCCGTGGTGGTGCCCGTGGTGCTGCCCGTGGTGGTGCCCGTGGTGGTGCCCGTGGTGGTGCCCGTGGTGGTGGTGGTGGTGCCCGTGGTGGTGGTGCCCGTGGTGGTGGTGGTGGTGGTGGTGCCCGTGGTGGTGCCCGTGGTGGTGGTGGTGGTGCCCGTGGTGGTGGTGGTGGTGCCCGTGGTGCCCGTGGTGGTAGGGGGTCATAGAAGTGCAGTCAACCACGCCGGGCTGCTCGGCGGCGGAGGTTGGACCCAGCCTCTCGGAATCGGAGAGCCGTTCTCAGACAGACACGTGTCCCACTCGCCCCTAGACAGACACGGACACTCCACGTTAGTGTGGCAGGGCTGAGACGTGTCCCACTCGCCCCTAGACAGACACGGACACTCCACGTTACCGTGGCACGGCTCAGGCGTGTCCCACTCGCCCCTAGACAGACACGGACACTCCACGTTAGTGTGGCAGGGCTCAGACGTGTCCCACTCGCCCCTAGACAGACACGGACACTCCACGTTACTGTGGCTGGGCTCAGTCCACTCTTTAACCGTGGTCTATCCACTGCTGGCTGAGTTACCGTATGTGCAGCAGCGCTGAGATGGAAGAATCTGCAACTTGATGGACTGCATGGTGCTGACGGCCTGGAGGGAGACACGGGGAGACACGGGGAGACACGGGGAGAGACACGGGGAGACACGGGGAGACACGGGGAGAGAGACACGAGGAGACACGGGGGAGACACGGGGAGACACGGGTGAGACACGGGGAGACGCGGGGAGACACGGGGTGACACGGGTGAGACACGGGGAGACGCGGGGAGACACGGGGAGACACGGGGAGAGAGACACGAGGAGACACGGGGAGACACGGGGAGACACGGGGGAGACACGGGGGGACACGGAGAGAGACACGGAGAGAGACGCGGGGAGACACGGGGAGACACGGTGAGACACGAGGAGACACGGGGAGACACGGAGAGACACGGAGAGAGACACGGGGTGACACGGGTGAGACACGGAGAGAGACACGGAGAGAGACACGGAGAGAGACGCAGGGAGACACGGGGAGACACGGTGAGACGCGGGGAGACACGGGGAGACACGGAGAGACACGGAGAGAGACACGGGGAGACACGGTGAGACGCGGGGAGACACGGGGAGACACGGGGAGACACGGGGTGACACGGGTGAGACACGGAGAGAGACACGGAGAGAGACACGGAGAGAGACGCGGGGAGACACGGGGAGACACGGGTGAGACACGGGGAGACGCGGGGAGACACGGGGAGACACGGGGAGACACGGGGGAGACACGGGTGAGACACGGGGAGACGCGGGGAGACACGGGGTGACACGGGTGAGACACGGGGAGACACGGGGAGACACGGGGAGACACGGGGGAGACACGGGGAGACACGGGGGAGACACGGGGAGACACGGGGGAGACACGGGGGGACACGGAGAGAGACACGGAGAGAGACACGGGGAGACACAGGGGGAGACACAGGGGGAGACACGGGGAGACACGGGGGGAGACACGGGGAGACACGGAGAGAGACACGGAGAGACGCGGGGAGACACGGGGAGACACGGGGAGACACGGGGAGACACGGGGGGAGACACGGGGAGACACGGGGGGAGACACGGGGAGACACGGGTGAGACACGGGGAGACACGGGGAGACGCGGGGAGACACGGGGAGACGCGGGGAGACGCGGGGAGACACGGGGAGACACGGGGGGAGACACGGGGAGACACGGAGAGAGACACGGGGAGACACGGGGAGACACGGTGAGACACAGGGGGAGACACGGGGAGACACGGGGGGAGACACGGGGAGACACGGGGAGACGCGGGGAGACGCGGGGAGACACGGGGAGACACGGGGAGACACGGGGAGACGCGGGGAGACACGGGGAGACACGGGGAGACGCGGGGAGACACGGGGAGACACGGAGAGACACGGAGAGAGACACGGGGAGACACGGTGAGACGCGGGGAGACACGGGGAGACACGGGGAGACACGGGGTGACACGGGTGAGACACGGAGAGAGACACGGAGAGAGACACGGAGAGAGACGCGGGGAGACACGGGTGAGACACGGGGAGACGCGGGGAGACACGGGGAGACACGGGGAGACACGGGGGAGACACGGGTGAGACACGGGGAGACGCGGGGAGACACGGGGTGACACGGGTGAGACACGGGGAGACACGGGGAGACACGGGGAGACACGGGGGAGACCCGGGGAGACACGGGGGAGACACGGGGAGACACGGGGGAGACACGGGGGGACACGGAGAGAGACACGGAGAGAGACACGGGGAGACACAGGGGGAGACACGGGGAGACACGGGGGGAGACACGGGGAGACACGGAGAGAGACACGGAGAGACGCGGGGAGACACGGGGAGACACGGGGAGACACGGGGAGACACAGGGGGAGACACGGGGAGACACGGGGGGAGACACGGGGAGACACGGGTGAGACACGGGGAGACACGGGGAGACACGGGGAGACACGGGGAGACACGGGGAGACGCGGGGAGACACGGGGAGACACGGGGAGACACGGGGGGAGACACGGGGAGACACGGAGAGAGACACGGGGAGACACGGGGAGACACGGTGAGACACAGGGGGAGACACGGGGAGACACGGGGGGAGACACGGGGAGACACGGGGAGACGCGGGGAGACGCGGGGAGACACGGGGAGACACGGGGAGACACGGGGAGACGCGGGGAGACACGGGGAGACACGGGGAGACGCGGGGAGACACGGGGAGACGCGGAGAGACACGGGGAGACACGAGGGAGACACGGGGTGAGACATGGGGAGACACGGGGAGCCACGGGGGAGACACGGTGAGACACGGGGAGACACGGGGGAGACACGGGGGAGACACGGGGAGACACGGGGGAGACACGGGGAGACACGGGGAGACACGGAGAGACACGGTGAGACACGGGGAGACACGGGGAGACACGGAGAGACACGGGGAGACACGGGGAGACACGGGGAGACACGGGGAGACACGGTGAGACACGGGGAGACACGGGGAGACACGGAGAGACACGGGGAGACACGGGGAGACACGGGGAGACACGGGGAGACAAGGTGAGACACGGGGAGACACGGTGAGACAGGGTGAGACACGGGGAGACACGGGGGAGACACAGTGAGATACACGGTGAGACACACGGTTAAACACACAGTGACACACACTGAGTCACAGTCCTAAACCTCGCCCATTTACCCTCGACATCAGGAGGAGTCGGGGACGATGCCAATCCCAGCCGCAAGCGATGATGAAATTCTCGCTTGCAACTTTCATCAGATAACTGAGACCAGGCCACTTTAGGTTGGAATGGGGTCCTGGGTGTACACCCACCACCGGAGTGGAAGAATGGCAGGCGCATCTTACAGATGACTAGTCGATGGTCAGAGGGCAGATCAGCTCCACGGTAGGTCCTGGTGTCAAGGACATGGGCTCGCATTCGCTGGTCCGTCACTATGTAGTCCAGCAGATGTTCTTGCTTGGACCCGGCATGCATCCATGATGTTGTGTGGATGCGCCGATGCCGGAACAGCGTGTTGGTAATTACAAGCCCATGGGCTGCACAAAAATCTAGCAGCCTCCTACCGTTGTTATTGAGCTGATCTGGCCCATGCCCTCCAATCACTCCAGACCAGGTGCCAGTATCATGACCAACTCGGGCATTGAAGTCACCCAACATGATGACTCTATCCCGAGGGGCCACTTTAGCCAGCACCTGTGACAGGAGGTCATAGAAGGCATCTGACTCATCGGCTTTGCCTGCATCCCTCCACGGATGTTCATCTTCGGTGGGGGCATAAGTAACCACGACCACCATTCCTCGCCTCCGGTTGATGGGAAGGCGAGCCCAAAGTAGCCTGGGGCTTACAGCTTCCCACACCTCACCGCCACGCTCCCACGCCCCCTTCATTCTTTTGTTCAAAAGAAGACCCACACCCTGTTGTTTGGCAGTCTGCTGCCCCGAGTAGAGGACTGTCCACCCCTCATGGTGGCAGGAGCCAGAGCCGGTCCACCGGACCTCCTGAATGCCGCATAGATCCAGGCGGTACCGGTCCAGCTCCCGACAGAGGAGTGGCAGCCTCTCCTCTGCAGTGAGCGTTCGAACATTCCACGTGGCCACCCGTAGTGGCTTTTCGTTGTTTCTGGAGTAGCCCCGAGGGTAGGTATTCAATCTCCTGGCTCCGCCAATTGGGGTTTGGCCAGGAGACGTCATAGACGCCTGGCCCCCCGGGGCCTCCGGCACAATACAGTGACACACACAGTGACACACACAGTGAGACACACAGTGAGACACACACAGTGACACACACAGTGACACACACAGTGACACACACAGTGACACACAGTGAGACACACACAGTGAGACACACAGTGAGACACACAGTGAGACACACAGTGACACACACAGTGACACACACAGTGACACACAGTGAGACACACACAGTGACACACAGTGACACACACAGTGAGACACACAGTGAGACACACACAGTGACACACACAGTGACACACAGTGACACACACACGGTGAGACACACAGTGAAACACACAGTGAGACACACAGTGAGACACACAGTGACACACACAGTGAGACACACACAGTGACACACAGTGAGACACACAGTGAGACACACAGTGAGACACACAGTGACACACACAGTGACACACACAGTGACACACACACAGTGACACACACAGTGACACACACAGTGAGACACACAGTGAGACACACACAGTGACACACACAGTGACACACACAGTGACACACACAGTGACAGACAGTGACACACACAGTGACACACACAGTGAGACACAGTGAGACACACAGAGTGACACACACAGTGAGACACACAGTGACACACACACAGTGACACACACAGTGAGACACACACAGTGAGACACACAGTGACACACACAGTGACACACACAGTGAGACACACAGTGACACACACAGTGACACACACAGTGACACACACAGTGACACACACAGTGACACACACACAGTGACACATACAGTGACACACACAGTGACACACACAGTGACACACACACAGTGACACACACAGTGACACACACAGTGACACACACAGTGAGACACACAGTGACACACACAGTGACACACACACAGTGACACATACAATGACACACACAGTGACACACACAGTGACACACACAGTGACACACAGTGACACACACAGTGAGACACACAGTGACACACACAGTGAGACACACAGTGACACACACAGTGAGACACAGTGACACACACACAGTGACACACACAGTGACACACACAGTGACACACACAGTGAGACACACACAGTGAGACACACACGGTTAGACACACAGTAGACACACACAGTGACAGTGACACACACAGTGACACACACAGTGACACACACAGTGAGACACACACAGTGAGACACACACAGTGAGACACACAGTGACACACACACACAGTGACACACACAGTGACACACACAGTGACACACAGTGAGACACACACAGTGAGACACACACAGTGAGACACACACAGTGACACACACAGTGACACACACAGTGAGACACACACGGTTAGACACAGTGACACACACAGTGACACAGTGACACACACACAGTGACACACACAGTGACACACACAGTGAGACACACAGTGACACACACAGTGACACACAGTGACACACACACAGTGACACACACAGTGACACACACACACAGTGACACACACACAGTGACACACACACAGTGAGACACACAGTGACACACACACAGTGACACACAGTGACACACACACAGTGACACACACAGTGACACACACACACACTGACACACACACAGTGACACACACACAGTGAGACACACAGTGACACACACACAGTGACACACACAGTGACACACACACAGTGACACACACAGTGACACACACAGTGACACACACAGTGAGACACACAGTGACACACACAGTGACACACACAGTGACACACACACAGTGACACATACAATGACACACACAGTGACACACACAATGACACACACAGTGACACACAGTGACACACACAGTGAGACACACAGTGACACACACAGTGAGACACACAGTGACACACACAGTGAGACACAGTGACACACACACAGTGACACACACAGTGACACACACAGTGACACACACAGTGAGACACACACAGTGAGACACACACGGTTAGACACACAGTAGACACACACAGTGACAGTGACACACACAGTGACACACACAGTGACACACACAGTGAGACACACACAGTGAGACACACACAGTGAGACACACAGTGACACACACACACAGTGACACACACAGTGACACACACAGTGACACACACAGTAACACACAGTGAGACACACACAGTGAGACACACACAGTGAGACACACACAGTGACACACACAGTGACACACACAGTGAGACACACACGGTTAGACACAGTGACACACACAGTGACACAGTGACACACACACAGTGACACACACAGTGACACACACAGTGAGACACACAGTGACACACACAGTGACACACAGTGACACACACAGTGACACACAGTGACACACACACAGTGACACACACAGTGACACACACACACAGTGACACACACACAGTGAGACACACAGTGACACACACACAGTGACACACACAGTGACACACACACAGTGACACACACACAGTGACACACACACAGTGACACACACACGGTGACACACACACAGTGACACACACAGTGACACACACACACAGTGACACACACAGTGACACACACACAGTGACACACACAGTGACACACAGACAGTGACACACACAGTGACACACACAGTGACACACACACAGTGACACACACAGTGACACACAGACAGTGACACACACAGTGACACACACAGTGACACACACACAGTGACACACACACAGTGACACACACACAGTGACACACACACAGTGACACACACAGTGACACACACACACAGTGACACACACAGTGACACACACACAGTGACACACACAGTGACACACAGACAGTGACACACACAGTGACACACACAGTGACACACACACAGTGACACACACACGGTGAGTGAATGATTCCCCGAGTGACGGCACCTCCGGCGATGAACTCACCTGTGCTCCCGAACAGCGCCACCTCATCCTCCTCCTCCTCCGCCTCCTCGTCGCCCCCCTCCTCCCCCTCCTCCTCCTCCTCGTCGTCGTGAGCCGTGAGGACGAGGATGGCCGTCTCCTCGTCGCGGTAGAGCTGTGCCCGCCGACGGCACAGCGAGCGCAGGAGAGACACGTGGACACGGAACGACGATGACGATGATGACGATGACTCTGGTGATGCGAGCCCTGGGGGGCGGGGGGGGGTGGGGGGGGGGGGGGAGAGGTGGGGGGGGGGGGGGGGGGGGGAGAGGTTGGAGATTGGGATACAGGATGATGATGCTGCTCCTGATGATGATGATGAAGATGATGATGCTACTGATGATTGATGCTCCTGATGATGATGATGATGATGCTCCTGATGATGATGATGCTCCTGATGATGATGATGCTCCTGATGATGATGATGCTCCTGATGATGATGATGCTCCTGATGATGACGATGATGATGCTACTGCTGATGACGATGCTACTGATGATGACGATGATGATGCTACTGACGATGATGATGCTACTGATGATGATGCTACTGATGATGATGCTCCTGATGATGATGATGCTCCTGATGATGATGATGATGCTCCTGATGATGACGATGATGATGCTACTGCTGATGATGATGATGCTCCTGATGATGATGATGCTCCTGACGATGATGATGCTCCTGATGATGATGATGATGCTCCTGATGATGCTACTGATGATGATGATACTACTGATGATGATGCTACTGATGATGATGATGCTCCCGATGCTGATGATGATGCTACTGATGATGATGCTACTGATGATGATGATGCTCCCGATGATGCTGCTGCTACTGATGATGATGCTACTGCTGATGATGCTGTTGATGATGATGCTACTGCTGATGATGCTGTTGATGATGATGCTACTGATGACGATGATGCTGCTGCTGCTGCTGATGCTACTGCTGATGATGCTGTTGATGATGATGCTACTGCTGATGATGATGCTACTGCTGCTGATGATGATGCTACTGCTGCTACTGATGATCATGCTACTGATGATGCTGCTGCTGATGCTACTGATGATGCTACTACTGATGATGCTACTGCTGATGCTACTGATGATGATGGTGCTACTGATGCTGCTACTGATGATGCTACTGCTGCTGCTGATGATGCTACTGCTGATGATGCTGCTGCTGATGCTACTGATGATGATGCTGCTGATGCTGCTGCTGACCCTTGCGAGTGGTTGCGAGGCAGCGAGCCGTGCGGAGTTGACAGATCGCGCTGAGAATGGAGGAGAGGCGCCCACAGTCAGCAAGCTTCCTCCTCACCTCGGACACGGCAGAGTCAGCCACCACCTGCATCTCCTCCTCCTGCAACCACCACCACCACAACCACAACCACCACAACCATCACAACCACCACCACCACCACCACAACCACCACAACCACCACAACCACCAGCACGTCAACCACCACCACCACCTGCATCTCCTCCTCCTGCAACCACCACCACAACCATCACAACCACAACCACCACCACAACCACCACAACCACCACAACCACCACGTCAACCACAACCACTACGTCAGCCACCACCACCACAACCACCACTACCACCACCACCGCCACCACCACCACCACCACCGCCACCACAACCACCACCACTACCACCACAACCACCACCACAACCACCACCACTACCACCACAACCACCACCACAACCACCACCAAAACCACCACAACCATCACAACCACCACAACCACCAAAACCACCACCACCACCACAACCACCACAACCACCACCGCCACCACCGCCTCTCCCCCTCACCCGCTTGGCCTTGTCGCTGAGCCGCTGCCGCTGCTGGAGCCAGGCGTCCAGCGTCAGCGTCGCCCTCCTCCGTCGCTGCTCCCTCGCCTCCACCTCCTCCCGCCTCCTCCTCCTCCAGCTCCTCCGCCACCTCCTCCTGTCGCCGTGGAAACAACGCCGCCACCGGCACGATCGCCATCAGCGCCCGCCGCCATCATCGCCAACAACACCACACCGTCAACAACAACAACAACAACGACCGCCATTCGCCACTGAGTGGCGGTGACGTCACCACGACGCTTGTGCCAGACACACACACACACACAGACACACACACACACACAGTCACACACACAGACACACACACACAGACACACACAGACACACACACAACAACCGCCATTCGCCACTAAGTGGCGGTGACGTCACCACGACGCTTGTGCCAGACACACACACACACAGACACACACACACACACAGTCACACACACAGACATACACACACACAGACACACATAGACACAACAACAACAACAACCGCCATTCGCCACTAAGTGGCGGTGACGTCACCACGACGCTTGTGCCAGGCTATGTGCACCCTGAGGCCACGTGAAGTGTCGAACACCCGCTGGCAGGAGGTCACGGGGCAGACCCAGGTACCACGGGTCGACTGACTGAGATGACTGGCTGATGCACCACCTGTGCCCCCTACTGTGCCAACCCGCTGTGCTTTAGCCACCCGGCGCTCCGCTCGTTGTTGTGAGCGTCGCTCCTCCGCCCTCCGTTGTTGTTGGAGGGCGACTGCCTCCAACTGCCCAGAAGCGTCCTTCACGAGCCTCCTCCACAGAGGCCGATCTTGACACCGCCGGTACCAGTCATCGGCAAGTCCACTCAGCTCCACGTCCTCCTGTACCACGTCACTCCATCTCTTCTCTAGCCCGTGCCGCGCCCGTTTAGCCCCCTCGATCCGCCCGAAACAAAAGCTGTTTATAGGCATGCGGTGGCTGGGCATGCGGGCTACATGACCCAGCCAACGCAGGCTTGCCTGCCGGAGGAGCTCACCGATGGGACCATGTCCAGAACTTTCAAGGATTTGTGAAGTCCTCACACAATCCAGCCTGGTTAAACCCAGGATGGATCGTAGGTAGGCCAGCCTAAATGTTTCGAACCGGTGAAGATGTTCCATTAGGGGGGTCCACGTTTCGCAAGCGTAGAGAAGGGAGGGAATGACCGTGGCCGAGAAGACCTGAAGCTTAGTGCGTAGCGACAGACCAGGTAGCTTCCACACAGCGTTACGCAACCGATGAAAAGATATTGCCGCTCGAATGATTCGGAGTGAGACCTCTGCTGTTAAACCGGAACTGGTCATGAGCACACTGCCCAGGTATGGGAAACTCTCCACTCTCTACACAACTGCCCCATCACCGATTGGGAGTTGTGGGGGTGGAGTGTCCGATGGTACAAAATACCCAGGCAGGTGCTTAGTTTTGGTGGGGCTGATGGTAAGGCCCCACCTCTTAGTGGCAAGCTCCAGGTTCAGCAGTAGCGTCTCCAACTCCTCCTCTGAGTGAGCAGCAATGACCAAATCGGCATACATAACGTGGTTGAGCAATAGGGAGCCATCCCTTGACCGCACCCGGGCATCGATCAGCCTCCCATTGTATCTGTACCAGATGGAGATTCCTCCGGTACTATTGAAGGCTTCACAAACTACGTGGTCAAAATAGATGTTAAATAATGTGGGAGCCAGAGGATATCCCTGTCACACCCCAAGGTGTACAGGGAATGGCTCTGACTCACGGCCACGTAGTTTTACCCGGGCCTGCTCACCATCATGAAGGTCCTTAATGATCGTGAGCGGAGGGTCAGGGACTCCGAAAGCACGAAGAACAACCCAGAGCCCAGGCCTACTGATGGTATCATAGGCCTTGACCAGGTCAATAAAGCAGAGATGCAGGTCTTGTTGGAATTCCATACACCTCTGCTGTAGCAGACAGATAGAAAATATGGCATCTGTGCAGGACCGCCCTTTCCTGAAACTGCATTGGAGCTCTGCAAGCCTCTCCTCAGCGTGCCTGGCAAGGCGATGTTGAATAATCCTTGCTAGGACCTTTCCCGGCACACAGACACCACCACGACCATCATCACCACCACCATCACCCCAAACCACCGCCCCCACCACTATCACCACCACCATCATCATCACCACCATCACCCCCCACCACCATCACCCCCCACCACCATCACCACCCACCACCACCATCACCACCACCATCACCCCCCACCACTATCACCACCCCCCACCACCATCACCCCCCACCATCACCACCCCCCACCACCATCACCACCATCACCCCCCCCCACTACCATCACCACCATCACCCCCCACCACCATCACCACCCCCCACCACCATCACCACCATCACCACCATCACCCCCCCCCCCCACTACCATCATCACCACCATCACCACCCCCCACCACCATCACCCCCCACCACCATCACCCCCATCACCGAGTGAGCCTGGCCTCCATCTTGCTCCGAGTCTGCTCCACCCACGCTGAGCTGCAGACCTTGTCCACCGCTCCACGCAACTCCACCCTCATCCGCTCCAGCGCCTCCACCTGCTCCACCCACGCAGCTCCATCCTGGACGACAACAACGTCAACCACGTCAACCACCACATCCACCACCACCTCCAACATCACCCCCCCCCCACCACCACCACCTCCCACCACCAACACCTCCCCCACCACCACCCCCCCACCACCACCACCCCCCACCACCACCACCCCCACCACCACCACCACCAGCGCCACCCCCACCACCACCGCGCCACCACCACCCCCCCCACCACCACCACCATCCCCACCACCCCCCCCACCACCCCCACCACCCGCCCCCCCACCACCACCACCACCACCACCACCAACACCACCACCACCTCCCCCACCACCTCCCCCCCCACCACCACCACCTCCCCCCCACCACCTCCCTCACCCCCCCCCCCACCACCCCCCCACCTCCCCCCCCACCACCACCCCCCCACCTCCTTCCTCAGAAGTGCCACCGCTCCCATCATCTTCTGCACGGCCCCAACAGCGGCTACCACCTCCGCCCTCGCCTGCGCCAAGCTCCCCACTTCTCCCCCTCTCCCGGCCGCCTTTGTCTCCCCGCCAAAGCGGGCCCTCTCAAACTGCTCCACCCACGCCGCATCTCGTCTCCGCTCTTCTTCTTCCTCCTCCTCCTCTTCACCACCACCACCACCCCCGTGTCTCCTGCCGCCCTCCTGCTGCTGCTGCTGCTGTGGTCCGCTTGGCAGAGGTAGAATGGAGGGCCCTTCGCGTTGAGAGGGAGGCCATGAGGGTTGGTGTGGTGGTGGTTGTGGTTGTTGTTGTTGTTGTTGTGGTGATGGTGGTGGTGGTAATAGCTGTGGTGGTGGTTGCAGTAGTGGTGGTGGTGGTGGTAGTAGTAGCGGTTGTTGTTGTTGTTGTTGATGGGCTGGATGGAATGGCGACGGCTGATACGGATTGTGCTGCTGATGAGGATACTGCTGCTGCTGCTGCTGCTGATGATGATACTGCTGAAGCTGCTGATGATGTTGCTGCTGAGGATACTGATGCTGCTGTTGCTGAGGATGCTGCTGCTGCTGCTGAGGATGCTGATACTGCTGCTGATGCTGTTGCTGAGGATGCTGATGCTGTTGCTGAGGATGCTGATGCTGTTGCTGAGGATGCTGCTGCTGCTGAGGATGCTGATACTGCTGCTGATGCTGTTGCTGAGGATGCTGATGCTGTTGCTGAGGATGCTGCTGCTGATGCTGCTGCTGCTGTTGTTGCTGAGGATGCTGCTGCTGAGGATGCTGCTGCTGATACTGATGCTGAGGATGCTGCTGCTGAGGATGCTGCTGCTGATACTGCTGCTGATGCTGAGGATGCTGCTGCTGAGGATGCTGATGCTGAGGATGCTGCTGCTGATGCTGTTGTTGCTGAGGATGCTGCTGCTGTTGTTGTTGCTGAGGAAACTGCTGATGGTGCTGATACTGCTGCTGATGTTGTGGTTGAGGATGCTGATGGTGGTCATCGTGTGGATGTCGTGGTGGCTGTGGTGGTCCGGGGTGGACTACTAGCGGTCGACTTAATTCAAACTGCGGTCCACCGCTCTGACTCAACCCATGTAGTCCACCACTCTGACTCAACCCATGCAGTCCACCACTCTGACTCAACCCATGCAGTCCACCACCCTGACTCAACCCATGTAGTCCACCGCTCTGACTCAACCCATGTAGTCCACCACTCTGACTCAACCCATGCAGTCCACCACCACCGCCGCCTCCACCTCGGCCGCCTCCCTCACGCCTCCCCGGGTAGGGCCGCCCAGGCGAGCCCGAGGTCTCGCCTCGGTGACCAGGCCCCGAGCGCGTTCCTCGGCCCGCGCTCATCGCGGCGTGCCCGCGTTCGTCTCGGCGGCGCGGAGAGACGCCGCCGGGCCTGCTGGGGGAGGGTGCGGTTCCGAAACGTCGAATTAGGGTAAATTGGTTCCCTCAGGCGGAGTTTGCGCGGGAAAAACTCCGATAAGGCCCGGCCGTTGGGCTTCGTTCAGGCGAGCAGGGGGGGGGGGGCCTCAACACCCCCACTCCGGAAGTGCGTGATCACGTGGTGGAAACGACTTCCGTTTTGTATTTCACACAGCGCGTGCGTAACATTGGGCAATGCATTTCGTAGTTCACATAAGGGGCTACAAATTTCACGTGAGAATTTCCGAAATCCATATTCATTTTTCAGTTTCTTTATTTTGGTATAGCCCTGTGAGCCATTCGGCTCTTGAATCGGGTGCAACCACAACAAACACAAAAACAAAAACACGAACGAGAAAACATCTTAAAGTGACTATGTGATTTTTGATTTAAGAATATGAATGTGACTTATGTGACTTTGTGCAAACAGAAAATCCATGGAAAAAAAAACAGCAAAATATTCCTGAAAAAAAGCACCGTACACCAACGCTGTGTGCAAAAAATCCCAGTGGGATGTAAGTCAAACAACAACAACCACAAGACAACTTAGATTAAGGCCATCAGTTTGTGAGTTAACATCAACAACAACCACAAGACAACTTAGATTAAGGCCATCAGTCTAAACTCCGTACTACAACAACCACCACAAGACAACTTAGATTAAGGCCGTCAGTCTAACTCCGTTACTACAACAACAACAACCACAAGACAACTTAGATTGAGGCCATCAGTCTAACTCCGTACTACAACAACAACCACAAGACAACTTAGATTAAGGCCATCAGTCTAACTCCGTACTACAACAACAACCACAAGACAACTTAGATTAAGGCCATCAGTCTAACTCTGTACTACAACAACCACAAGACAACTTAGATTAAAGCCATCAGTCTAACTCCGTACAACAACAACAACCACAAGACAGCTTAGATTAAGGCCATCAGTCTAACTCCGTACTACAACAACAACCACAAGACAACTTAGATTAAGGCCATCAGTCTAACTCCGTACTACAACAACAACAACCACAAGACAACTTAGATTAAGGCCATCAGTCTAACTCCATACTACAACAACAACCACAAGACAACTTAGATTAAGGCCATCAGTCTAACTCTGTTACTACAACAACAACAACAACCACAAGACAACTTAGATTAAGGCCATCAGTCTAACTCCGTACTACAACAACAACCACAAGACAACTTATATTAAGGCCATCAGTCTAACTCCGTACTACAACAACAACCACAAGACAACTTAGATTAAGGCCATCAGTCTAACTCCGTACTACAACAACAACCACAAGACAACTTAGATTAAGGCCATCAGTCTAACTCCATACTACAACAATACCACAAGACAACTTAGATTAAGGCCATCAGTCTAACTCCGTACTACAACAACAACCACAAGACAACTTAGATTAAGGCCACCAGTCTAACTCCGTTACTACAACAACAACCACAAGACAACTTAGATTAAGGCCATCAGTTTGTGAGTTAACATCAACAACCACAAGACAACTTAGATTAAGGCCATCAGTCTAACTCCGTACTACAACAACAACCACAGGAAAACTTAGATTAAGGCCGTCAGTCTAACTCCGTACTACAACAACCACCACAAGAAAACTTAGATTAAGGCCGTCAGTCTAACTCCGTAACTACAACAACAACCACAAGACAACTTAGATTAAGGCCATCAGTCTAACTCCGTACTACAACAACAACCACAAGACAACTTAGATTAAGGCCATCAGTCTAACTCCGTACTACAACAACAACCACAAGACAACTAAGATTAAGGCCATCAGTCTAACTCCGTACTACAACAACAACCACAAGACAACTTTAGATTAAGGCCATCAGTCTAACTCCATTACTACAACAACAACCACAAGACAACTTAGATTAAGGCCATCAGTTTGTGAGTTAACATCAACAACCACAAGACAACTTAGATTAAGGCCATCAGTCTAACTCCGTACTACAACAACAACCACAGGAAACCTTAGATTAAGGCCGTCAGTCTAACTCCGTACTACAACAACCACAAGAAAACTTAGATTAAGGCCGTCAGTCTAACTCCGTTACTACAACAACAACCACAAGACAACTTAGATTAAGGCCATCAGTCTAACTCCGTTACTACAACAACAACCACCACAAGACAACTTAGATTAAGGCCATCAGTCTAACTCCGTACTACAACAACAACAACGACAAGACAACTTATATTAAGGCCATCAGTCTAACTCCGTACTACAACAACAACCACAAGACAACTAAGATTAAGGCCATCAGTCTAACTCCGTACTACAACAAAATTAAACATGTCCAAACATAAAAACGTTTTCGAAATCACCCCAAAAATAAAGCCATCATTGCAACGTAACAGTGATCACAGGGGGACTGTGACCGAATTTTTAACAATAAACTACATAAATAACATGTAACACCAAATCCTCGAGCCATAGCTGGCTGCTTGAGTTACTCCACAACAACAGAAGCATCAGTCGGAGTATCCCCAGTGGGATGTAAGTCAAACAACAACAACCACAAGACAACTTAGATTAAGGCCATAAGTCTAACTCCGTACTACAACAACAACCACAAGACAACTTAGATTAAGGCCATCAGTCTAACTCCGTACTACAACAACAACCACAAGACAACTTAGATTAAGGCCATCAGTCTAACTCCGTACTACAACAACAACCACAAGACAACTTAGATTAAGGCCATCAGTCTAACTCCGTACTACAACAACAACCACAAGACAACTTTAGATTAAGGCCATCAGTCTAACTCCGTTACTACAACAACAACCACAAGACAACTTAGATTAAGGCCATCAGTTTGTGAGTTAACATCAACAACCACAAGACAACTTAGATTAAGGCCATCAGTCTAACTCCGTACTACAACAACAACCACCACAGGAAAACTTAGATTAAGGCCGTCAGTCTAACTCCGTACTACAACAATCACAAGAAAACTTAGATTAAGGCCGTCAGTCTAACTCTGTTACTACAACAACAACCACAAGACAACTTAGATTAAGGCCATCAGTCTAACTCCGTTACTACAACAACAACCACAAGACAACTTAGATTAAGGCCATCAGTCTAACTCCGTACTACAACAACAACCACAAGACAACTTAGATTAAGGCCATCAGTCTAACTCCGTACTACAACAACAACCACAAGACAACTAAGATTAAGGCCATCAGTCTAACTCCGTACAACAACAAAATTAAACATGTCCAAACCTAAAAACGTTTTCGAAATCACCCCAAAAATAAAGCCATCATTGCAACGTAACAGTGATCACAGGGGGACTGTGACCGAATTTTTAACAATAAACTACATAAATAACATGTAACACCAAATCCTCGAGCCATAGCTGGCTGCTTGAGTTACTCCACAACAACAGAAGCATCAGTCGGAGTATCCCCAGTGGGATGTAAGTCAAACAACAACAACCACAAGACAACTTAGATTAAGGCCATAAGTCTAACTCCGTACTACAACAACAACCACAAGACAACTTAGATTAAGGCCATCAGTCTAACTCCGTACTACAACAACAACCACAAGACAACTTAGATTAAGGCCATCAGTCTAACTCCGTACTACAACAACAACCACAGGAAACCTTAGATTAAGGCCGTCAGTCTAACTCCGTACTACAACAACCACAAGAAAACTTAGATTAAGGCCGTCAGTCTAACTCCGTTACTACAACAACAACCACAAGACAACTTAGATTAAGGCCATCAGTCTAACTCCGTTACTACAACAACAACCACCACAAGACAACTTAGATTAAGGCCATCAGTCTAACTCCGTACTACAACAACAACAACGACAAGACAACTTATATTAAGGCCATCAGTCTAACTCCGTACTACAACAACAACCACAAGACAACTAAGATTAAGGCCATCAGTCTAACTCCGTACTACAACAAAATTAAACATGTCCAAACATAAAAACGTTTTCGAAATCACCCCAAAAATAAAGCCATCATTGCAACGTAACAGTGATCACAGGGGGACTGTGACCGAATTTTTAACAATAAACTACATAAATAACATGTAACACCAAATCCTCGAGCCATAGCTGGCTG